ACGTGGGAGGTACAGAGTCAAATTAAGCCACTGTCACTGCCCTCAGAGGCTCCATTCCAGCCTGGGAGGCAGCTGAGGCCAGTATGGGCCAAGGTGAGGGGCCGAGACCTTATTCTGAAGGCACTGGGACACCCCTGAAAGGGTTTGCCCTGAGGAATGTGATCAGGCTTGCCTGTAGAAAAGCCTCAGCCAGGGGAGCGCATGGGAGTCCCCCTTCGGGACGTTTCCTTGGTTCTCCATCCCACTCACTTCCTGGCCCTTCTCTCCGGCTCTCTTTCCTGGGATGAACCGCACAGCAGCCTCCAGCCAGGCAGGGGCCCTGGAGGCCAGTGGGGCGCGTGGCCTGCACGGCCCTGCGTGCTCCCGGCTGTGCCACAGACAAAGGCCTGAGCTGGGGCTCACCCAGGCATTGCCTTGGCAGGTGCCGGCCCTGGCCAGGCAGCAGAACAAGTGGGTGAAGGTGGTAGGTGGTGGCCACTCGCCCTCAGACATCGCCTGCACCGATGGCTTCCTGATCCACATGGGCAAGATGAACCGGGTCCTCCAGGTACTCACAGCCCTCTCCTCTGCCTCTGCTGGCACCCAGCCTTGGCCTCCATCCCATACCCCAAGCAGAAGCTCATTAGCCTCTCCCCTATGGCCTGATCCCCTCCCTGACCCGGAGTCCCAAAATGATACCCCAATTCCTGACCCACAGTCCAGAGCCCTCCCTGAGCTTGCTCAGGCCTCTTGTCAGTTCTGCACCCCTGTGGCCATGGTGAGGATGTCCACCCCCTTTTCTGCCAGGGACCACATCCCATTTGGCTACCTGGGGTGGGAGGTGGCTTGAGCTAACCACAGGCTGAGACATTCTCATTCATGCAGTTGTGAGGACTGGGCGATGACTCAGCTCATCTCAGCCTATGCTGTTCTGTTGCAGGTGGACACAGAGAAAAAGCAGGTGACCGTGGAGGCTGGCATCCACCTGGCTGACCTGCACCCACAGCTGGACAAGCATGGCCTGGCCTTGTCCAAGTAAGAGCCACTTCCCCCATTTTTAGGTGGGCCAGTGCTGCTCACTACCCCCTGCCTGGGGCACTCAGGGGCCTTAAGCAGATAGTGGAGCAGAGTCCATGACGGGTGACACTAGGAAGTGTTAGCTTCTGGGCCCTGATGTCTCTGTCCTCCCTGGGAACCCAGTCCCCCTCAAGTGGCTGCCTGCACGAGGCTCATCTGCCACTCAGAGGGAGTTAGGATGTCCCAGCATGTGTGTCCCAGGGGCCACCTGGGTCTACAACTCCAAGGATGCTGTGGGGATTGAGTGGCTGGGGAGGCAGTAGGGAAGGACAGAGCTGTGTCAGGCCACGTGCTGGCTGGTTGATGCACCGTCTCATTTCATCATCACACCAGCCCTGAGAGGGAGAAGCATAACCCCCACTGAGGGATGAAGAAACCAGGATTGAGGCCAAAGGGCTCATTTACCAAAGTCACTGGCTGGAGCATTCACCGTGTGGCAAGCTGGAGGCTGCAGGACACAGCGCCGTGCTTAAGAGACAGTGTGGTGAAGACCCCAGCTCCAAGAGCAGCCGGCCTGGGTGCACGTCCCGCTTGCACCCCACACGAGCTTGTGTCGAGTTCCTTGACCCACCTGAACGTCAGAGTTCTCATCTAGAAAAGTGGGTCTATACAATAGGGGTGCTCAGAGGACTGGACGAGTAAAAGACGCCTCACGTATTAAGTGCTCCATAAATGTTTGTTCTTGTTCATTTTCCTGGCTCCATCAATGCCTCGTTCCACAGCCTCCAGAAGTGAACTGTCCCCCGTGACTCCTTATGTCCATCCCCTCAGAGGCCGAAGCCTGGTCTTTCCTTCCGAGGCCCTTCTCCCTGAGGGGGCCTCGCTGTCCCCAGCCTGCTTTCTCCTACTCCGTCACAGCCTCTCTTCCACATTCCTCTTTCGTCTTCGTAAACTTCACGGAGAAGGGAAGAAGGTCGCAGCTGGATCGACCACCCTCCCTGTGCACACTTAGGCGGCTCTGTTTTTCGCTGTGATTCGTAATTCTGTGACAAACGTCATCGTGCCTGTGTCTTCCCACGCGCCGGAGCATCCCCCTGGCACGGGCTGTCTGCGACCCCCTTTTAACATTCCGGTCTTTTCAGAAGGGGCCATATTTCCCAGCAGTCCAGTGAGTAGGAACAGAGATGACAGCGGACACAGGGTGAGGGGAGGACAAGGGGGGACGGGAAAAGGCTTCGGTCTCTCTCATCCTCTTACTGTCCTGCCAGGGCAGCCCCCAGGCCCCTCTGCAGGAAGGCATGAGCTAGATTTTCTGATTGTCGGCTTGTCAACTTAAGTTGAAATCAGAGCAGAGCCACTGGTGTCCTCCAGCCTGCATTTTGGGGAGCCTGCCTGCCTCGGGGCTCTGGGTCTGCTGAGGGGAGGGATCATTTCAAATCCCTGCCCTTCCACACCAAGCCCATTAATTGTGAAACTGTTATGTACGATGTAAGGCTCCAATCACCTTGGCAAACAATAGACCTTCAGTAAATATTGTCTTTCCTCTCCTTTAAGCTGGGGCTGGAATATCTCAGAAAGCTCCTGAGTAGTAAGCCTCTTATACTCCTGACCTGCTCTTTCCTTGACCCTGAGATCTGGGCGTATCTTTCTAATTTCTGGCCCCAGACTGCATGCTCCAGGAGCGATACAACTTCCCTTAAGAAATCTGGTCCTCTTGTGTACACTGAACCTTTTATTCATTCCAGGGCCTGGAACTCGGGGCTGAAGGAGGCGGGGTTTATTCTAGATGGCCCGAGACGCCCCTGAAGGTTTCTAAGAATGGTCTTCTCCTTCCTCACAACTCAGGGAGGTTCCTACCTATTCATAGCAGCTTGGGATGTCTGTGTGTTATCTGACCCAGGTCCCACGGGACTTCTCAGGCCTTACTAGGCTGGATCTAAAGAAGTCTTAGCAGGAACACTGGGGCCTTGGGTTGGTGGAGAAGATATTGTTGATGGGTGGGGGACCGAGAGAAGGGAGCTTGTAGGCTGTGGAAACCCCGGAGCTACGCAGGCAGGCCCCCCCACCCCCATCCCAGAGCTGGG